AGAGAGAGAGAGAGAGAGAGAGAGAGAGAGAGAGAGAGAGAGAGAGAGAGAGAGAGAGAGAGAGAGAGAGAGAGAGAGAGAGTTATGGGATCATAGGCCACTATTCGCTCTTTGTATATTCAGCGTTCGTTGTACAGGAGAGGAGGACGATTGAGGGATTGCTATTGATTACTGTAATCCTTGGAAGGAAGGGAAAATGAATGGCAAGGAGGGGTTATGTGTTGGGGGGGGCTGATTGATGTGAGCAGCTTCTCAGTGCTCACATAGGTGCTGGACCTGATCCACTTTTTTCGAAGCCCAGAGTTTGAAATATTCAGCCTTGAAGTTTGAAGTGACCACAGAGCTGCAATCAGCGACGTAACGTGCAGAAAAGCGGCAGAAGTAATTTCCTCTTTGTCGGGGCCGAGGAGGCTAACATAACGTGCAGAAGCGGCAGAAGTAATTTCCTGTTTGTCGGGACGGAGGAGAGGACTTGAGCTCCGGAAATTGTGGACTGTGTTTTTGAAGGAGCTTGCTTTGTTATTCATTTCCTGTTTTTCTTTGGGAAGTTGGTGGATGGAAAACGACGGCGGGAGATTTTATCAGATAATTTTGAAGATCTTTTCAAGGATTTTCGGAAGATTTTCTTTCTTGCTATTCAGGACGATGGCCGTGTTTTTTTAGAGTGCGCTTCCAACAAAAAAAAACTTCAAAAGAAACTCTTAGAAAGCATATCGAATTTGTCGAACGAGTGAATGATGCATCGAACTAGAGGTGCAATTGTGCCACAACTGCTGCATAGCACATCGGAAGAGGACAAGACAAAGTCGCGGCTCCATACGTGAGAGTGAGAGACCGTTGGTCGAAATTGGGCAGATCGCCAAAGGTCGGGAAGTGTTGGCGGATGAAGGGTAGGATCATCATCTAAACCTCTGTGCCAAGCAGTAGCAACGGCGGGGACTATGTCCCTGGACCGGGGGGAGGACTCGGGGCAGAGAGGGTCAATTAGGAATTCACTGTTCAGGGAGTCGTCTGATTTCAACACCGACTCACAAGAGTTTAGTTAGTTGCATCTGGTCTCAAATTTCAATGCTTTGTGAAAGCTGAAGATAGAAATTGGAATCTTGGGGAATCAACCAGTCTAAAGACAGGACACACTTCTTTTGATTTTTTGTTTCTTTGTTGGAGGAAGAAAACAAAACTGTTAAATTGCCAAGGGTTTGGGGGTGGGGTGGGGTGGGGGGGGGGGGGGGGGGGGGGGGGGTGTGCTGTGGGAGGAGATCAATCTGATTCCTATTACACCTGTCAGTCATGGGAAATGGGGCATTTAGGGGGAAAAGAGAAGTAGAAAAGCAGCAGCAGATATGACTGTAGTTCGGATGAGGCAGAGAGAGAACGATGCGAGGCTGTGAGCTACGAGTTCCAAAGGAGGTAACCCTCTCTCTCTCTCTCTCTCTCTCTCTCTCTCTCTCTCTCTCTCTCTCTCTCTCNCTCTCTCTCTCTCTCTCTCTCTCTCTCTCTCTCTCTCTCTCTCTCTCTCTCTCTCTCTCTCTCTCTCTCCCCCACCCCCCCTCTAGATCGTCGCTGCCAAAACTTTGCAGCCCATACAAAATGAAGAAAGGAAGCGGTGATTTGAATGAGAAACTGACTGCGCACAATGACGCAGGACAACGTTGCTGAAGCAGAGGTAGTGTTTGTTGTCTGAGAGACGTGTACGCATTCGTTTGCGCGATGAGCTCGTTTTAAGAAAAAAACGCTAGACTGCATTCGGATTCTGGAGGTGCCCAGATGCATTTTGAGGTTCTTTGTAAGGCAACTGTGTGTGTGGTAGACTAAGTCATCACAGCCATCGCCATCATCATCATCAGGATCTGCATAATTATTGACATCAGTGCGATTGTTGTTATCGTTGTTATGATCATCATTCGTCATCCTCATCATTCTTCATCGTTCGTTATGATCATCATCATTCGTCATCATTCGTCATCAAACTCGTCACCATCGTTTCATCATATAAGCATTCGCGTGATTAATTAACTCTGTCATTATCAAATTCTCACTCTCAATACTCGAGCATTCACTGTTCTCTTCTCTGCGTGTTAGTCTTGACCATCTCAGTGCCTAATCATACTTTCTGTGTCTTATATCTGACTGTATTTACGGCCAGACGTTGATGTATCTGACCGCAATTATGCCCATAATGCGGTGAATGAATATGTGCACCCGGAACTATTTTTCTTTTTGTTCGATGACGATTTCAATGTACTGTCGAACCTGGCTTTGATGTGTGTTTTTGTGCGGAGAATGGTGTGAAATGTTGAAGTAAAAATATTGACTACCGTCTTCCCCCGAACACAACGCACCCTTATTTTGGCTGTATCTGGCCGGAAATATAGCTTGTATACATTCATTTTTAGGGTGCGTTATGTTCGGGGGAAGACGGAAGCCAAAGGTCAGAGGAGGATGCGTGCAGTGGAGTTGGATATCAGAGAACACTCAAAGGTGTGGTGGCTGAAAGAAATCAGAAAGGTCTTCACCGAACGACCCCAAAGTGGAGTCATGGGAAGGGGAGAAGCGGGCTGGGGGGGGGGACGGGGTGGGGCGGGGGGGGGACTGCTGCCGCCTTGCGAATAGTGCATGGTGTGATAATACCGCAGTATCTGTATCTGATGGGAAAATTGGGTTGAATTAGCACTTAGGGAAATAAGGAAGGATGAAGGATATGCTGCTGCTGAAGGGGTTGAGACGAACTGTCTGTCCGACCGACTGCTGCGTTCAACTTTGCACACTGTCGAGGTATTGGAATGGTTATTATAGATGTATCTGGCTTGGATAACGTCCCAGGTACAGGTACTCATGACATGACTAATGAGTCCCATTTGATGTAACACAGTAGTCCTCCTATAGGATTGTCTATGGATAAGGTGGCGGAGCCGGTTTTGTCGGTGTTTTGTTTTGTTTTGTTTTGTCGCTGTTTTGTTTTGTCACTGTTTTGTTTCGTTTTGTTTTTGCTTTTTTTTTCGTATTTTTTTGTTTTCGCTTTTTTTTTTTCGTTTTTTTTTTCATAATCACGTGGTAGAGCTTGGCTGGAACATTTATTCAACCGTGCTCTGGTGCTAAGCCAAAGGGAATGCATCTCTGGATGTTTCTGTGAAGTTGTGGTTTTGTTTTTTTTTTAAACCAAAAAGAAAGCCTACCCTGTTTGGAAAAAAAATAAAAAAGTAAAAAAAAGTTTAGAGAATCATAAAAAGCCAGTTTTGCTATAGCCGACGCCGTGTGGTTGCCAGTCTTTTTTTTTTTGGGGGGGGGGAATCGTTTATTAACTAAAAATGAGAAACGCCCCCAGCGTCCCTCACAGAAATAGGTGCGAGGAAAATTCAAAATTGTGAAAATCCCTGCATTTCCGGCCAGGTTCAGGCCCAGACGACCACAGAAAAAAAAAAAGAAAAAAAAAAAAAAAAAAACCAGGAACATCCTTATTAATTTCCCAGGCCAGACTATCTTTTTTTCTTTAACACAAAAATATTTCAAATTTTCATTCCATCATAAACAGGAGGCGGGGGGTCTTTACAGTCGTCACAAACTATCTTTTTTCTTTGCCAGTGTGGTTAGCAGTCCAGCTGACTACGGAAGGGGTGTTTTTTTACTATTTCACTATTTTGAGATAAATAAATTCAATAAATAGAATTATAGAACAAATTCAAATTGCAATAAACGCAGTTCAAATCTGCACTGCCGTGGGCTAACCGTCGTCCCTTCTGGTCAAAGGCCTGAAACAGGTTAAAAAACTTAAAAAAAGGTACGTCCCAAGCCTGGAATATGTTTGAGAAAATACCCGCCGGGGGTCATGGTAGGATACGTTGGCTTGAGGCAAAAACTAGGTCCAGATCCCCCCCATCAGACCCAGCATGGCAGGATTAGACCCAAAGTCAAAGTGAACCCGCCAGGGTCAGCGACGACCGTCAATCAGATGCGCAACATTGGTCGTCTGCCGGCATCCAGAAGATTCCAGTCCAAATGGGACACAAGGGAAATTGGGAACTGCGCTACATCCAGAAGATGCCATTGGCTTTCGATTCATTTGGGCCGTCGGCCCAAGGAGACTGGAGGCTGGTCTATGTGAGCCAACCCTATCATAAAGAGTTGAGCACACCTCATGGAGGTCGTTCGGCCTTGTGCTGCGTTGTTGCTAGTGTCGTAACGTGAGGCTGGTGGAGCTCTATGCTGGCGCAAGACGTTGGGAGTGGGCGCCGACCTTGAGGGAGATTATGTTGGCGCAGCCATAGCCACGTAGATGTAGATGTAGCAGTGATTATTGGCGAGGAGGGAGATTATGTTGGCGGGGCGATAGTCGCGTAGATGTAGATGTAGTAGTGATTCTTGGCGAGGAGGAGGAACAGGGTTGCGAGACTGACAGGGCGAGGTGGGAAAGCTTACCTGACCTGGTCTTATATCTGGTGACGAATCGTGTGATCTGCTCCTGTCTCCCCGAAGGTGAGGAAGTGCTGCGCCATGCACCGTATCTGATTGCAGATGTGGAAGGAGGATGGGCGCCCTGTTCTGATCTGATCTGCAGGTCAGTTATGTCAGAGGACGTCAGAGGGAACATGCAATGCGGAGGTGGCGTTAGGGGAGAAGCCCGAAGGAGGAGTGGGTGAGAGGAAGACATAATATTATATGTGCTATCGATTATCATTGAGATTCTACACCTCTTTTCTGTCTAATCTCTCCCCTTACTCGTCTCTTATGCTCTGCGTTGGCGGGATGATACTCTTGAAATGTGCATTTGATCGGGACTTGAACATGTCATTGACAATTCGAGACTTCGTCACGAGTCACGCCGGGCTTAGACTTCCATTGCATTGCTGATTGGCTTTCCGATAAGACTGGGTTATTACAATTTGGTATTGGAGCGGTCTCCTCCTACCTCGTCATACTATTGATGGCGATGCCGACATGGCACTGATGCACCACACTGACACGCAACAGTGATTCGCTACAGTGATGCACTAGAGTGACGGGCTATAGTGTCGAGCAATTATAATGACAATGAGATGATTATGATGACGAGATGATGATGATGATGATGATGATGTAGAAGCCCGTTGTGGAAGGAGAAGTGCGGCGACTGCTAAGTGATATTCCACAATCGGTGACGTGGCACCTGAGAGAGACTGACAGGCTCAAAAGTGGGAGCTGATGTAGTGCTTACGTGGCACTGCGAAGAGAGGTTGCCTCTGCCTTACGTGCCTAGGGCTATTGCTGATGTGGATGTGTCTGCTGCTAAGGCAAGCGCTATAGCGCATGCCTGCCGACGTAATAGCCACCACCATTGCTCATGAGGTTTTGACACCTCATGTTGACATGGCTGCCACCCACTAAAGAGTGGCCAAGGTCGAAGTCGTTGCTGGAACGAGGCACCATGGCTAAGAATAGATAGCAGCATCGTTGTTGTTGACTAGGCACGCTGCTGGAACGAGGAGGCACCGTTGACGTGGCAACTGGACGTGAGGCGGGACGAGAGAACTTGCGCGTGTGGGATCAGGCGGGCGATACAGCAAGCAGATATTTTGTTGAAGTGCCATGCGCGTAGTTGCATGCCTGGCCAGTCACACATTTGTGAGGAACAAAGATGAGAGTCGCAGCTACGAAGTTTGATTGGTTGTATTGAGTTATGGCTGCTGACGTGGCAAATTGCGTTGCTGTGTAATGTTGCTGATGTGGCATGTTGTATATGATGGGCTCTTGTTTCTTCTTGATTGTGCAGACTGCTGACCTTATTGTGTGTATTGATTGCATTTACCATGGGTTAGCAGATGTATCTGCATAGTGTCTCAATCTAAAAAAATGTTAGTCATCATTGGTGGGAATATAACTAGAAAAAGCAATTAAAAAAAGTGTTATTTATAATTTTTTATCGTTTTTTTTTTTTGGTTGTATCGTTTGTGGATTGAGGCCGTGGATTTTACAATTGAAATTTTAGTTTATTGTGCAACATTCTCATCTGCAAATACAACTTTCCTTTGGATATGGTTGCATGCATCCATCCTGACCAGATTTATTCCTTTATTTTTCTTCCCCATCTTTTTGTACATTTTTTTCCTGACGAAGAAGAATGAGAGGAATATGTGAAAACGAAAGGCCGAATTAAGGTTGAGAGAGCACAAGCGCTTGGTTGTCTCCATTTGCTGCTCACTCGTATGCATGACGCTGGTCCGGAAGCATACCAGATTAATAACCTGTTGGCCTGCTTCCGGAAGCACTGTATACAGCCAGTTCGATCTGCGGGTTGGAAAAGGCGAGAACTAGAGAAGGCTGATGCTGTTGTTGTGTCGCTGGAGGTTAGCGGACGCGTGCAACAGGTTTTAATCAGGCTCATTTGAGCCTTGATGATATTGTCGTTGAGCAGTTTGTTGAGATGACAAAGCATGGAGTAAAGGGCGACGACAGAAAGGGTTAAGTAATCCATAAGGAGGAAAGGAAGGAAGAATTGGATGTCGAAATTATGCATGCAACCATCAGACAATTGAGAGGTACTGGAAGTAGAAGAGAAAGAATAGGAGGCCCACCTGAAACGAAAACAGGAAAAACTTCGGAAAAGAACAGGAAAAAAAAAACGTTGAAGAAACAAAACGAAAATTTAAGATTGGGTGAGATGTAGACTTGGCGTCCTTAGTGCAGAACATGGTGGTGTATCTTGCTCACCTCGAGACACAATCCGACCACGTCACGAATTGAACTTCGGACGGTGACGAAGGCGGTCAAAGGAATGAACAAGGTGTTGAAAGAAGAAAGAAAAGAAAGATAACATAAAAATCCCTTGTAATTCAGGCAGAATAATTTGATTGAACATTTTGGCATCTCGTTTGATGAAAAATGCTATCAAGTCCAAAAACTTTTGATCTTGAATTCGTGATAACAAGGCGCCGCTTGTACATTGAGCTTCACCCTTCACTAACCATTCTTCAATCGATAGTATTCATTTCATTCGAGTAAGAGTTACTTATATTAAACCACTACTCTCTCCGATATCAAGAAATTGGGGGTACCGGTAGCACAAGTTCATTAAGGCTATCGATAGTACAGTGTGGAGAACAAAAAGAAACATGAAAATTAAAAATGTGTTGAAATGCCTCCGGGATTTATTTTATGGCGGGTATGAGATTCGGGGAGGGAGGGGGAAGACGCACAATGTGAGGAACGGGGTTCGGGGAGGTCCGGAAGGACG